GCTGGCTGGGGAATTCTGGGAGTTGAAGTCCACACGTCTTCAAGCGGCCAAGGTTGAGAAAAACTGCATTAAGGAGTCGGATAGCGGTCTGGATTCTTCCTTTGGGTGCCTTTCAGCCACGCTTGGAAGCCGGAGCATGTAAGGAAGCACTGAGTTTAAGGCAGGGCTTGAGCCAGGAAGGCCCCGATCCAGGTCACCACTCCACAGGGTGATCTTTGGCTTCACATCCCTCAGCCCAACGCCTTGTGCAGAATTGCTGCTGGGCTAAACTTGGGGGACACCCTTGCACGTGACACCCCAAGGGCGGGGGATGATCGAGGCCATTGAGAAACCATCAGATCACGCGGAGGCGTTGCCGGTGTGAGAGCAGGGGAAGCGCTCCCCTGGGGCTGCTGCGGGGGGAAGGGGGGCACAGATGTTCCTTACCAGGCACATGCAGCGGCTGCAGGTATCCTGGGGGTCGGGAAAGCGCTCCCCCTCCTTACAGTCCCGCCCGTGAAAGCTGCAGGCGTCGCAGATGGGGCAGCCACAGGGGCCGCGGGCGGGGAGGGGGGAGGGGGGGGGGCAGAGGGGCGGGGGGCACAGCCGGGGCCGGCAGGAGACGTTGCCTCTCTGGGAAGAGGAAGGAAGAGATGGAAAAAAGAAAAACCTGAGTGGGGGAGGTTTGGGGAGGGGGCTCTTACTTCGGGATGCCCCCCAAGGAGCAGGGACAGCGTGGTCAGCCCATTTCAGGGAAGGAAGGGTGGGGATTATAGCAAGGGGTTCAGCCGGGCAAAGCCCACCTCCCTACATCTGTTTCAGGGTCCGACTGGGCCATCCATCCCCGTCTTAAAAACCCTGGAAAAATAGCGAGTGGGGCCAACTTTGAGGAGAGGGAGATACAGAGCCCTCCTCCTCCGGCTTCCTCCCTTGACTGGGGGGGAAACATCCCCCTACATCAGTGTTTCTCAACCTCGGCCACTGGCTGAGGATGGCTGGGGAATTCTGGGAATTGAAGTCCACCCATCTTAAAGTGGCCGAGGTTGAGAAACACTGCCCTACATTAATCCCTGAAACTCAGCCAATGGTCCCAGGGCGCCGTGGGTCTCTCGGCAGATTGTGGCTTGCCCACTATGGTGACACTCGGAGGGTCCTGCCCCCTTGCAATGCTCACAGCTGCCTCCAGAGGCTTCCTCCACGGAGAGGGGCTGGGCCCTCGCCCCCTTCCTCCCCTCTGGACAAGCTGGGGGAAAGGAGCTCCAAGATCCCGGGGGCTCCAGGGAGGAGCACAAATTACCCCCCAGCTGCCCGGCTAAGAGAAGGCGCCTGGGGCAGGATCCCCACCACTGGGATGGGACCTAGTTGGTTCTGCCCTCCTGAATCCCCAGAATGCCCTGTGTTGCCCAGCTCTTTACGCAGCCTTCCCAACCCACTGGCCTGCAGAGGGGCTGGCCACCACACCCATGCTCCCCAGCTGGCGCCCAAGGGCCCTGCTGGTTGCACGAGGAGTGTTGCAGCCGCAGGGTTGCAGAAGGCCCAGGAGCACTTAACACTTACACCCCCCTCAGCATTTGGTGTCTGGCTTTAACAAAGCAACCCTTTTCAAAGCCTCCACGCAAAGGCTGTTTCCTCTCTCCCCCCTCTGGTCCTTCTCTCATTTTTCCAGCATGCTGTCATGGGGCTCAGATGCTTGCTGGGGTTTCTACCTGCTTGGATGGTGCACCCACAGGAGATCCACAGTGCCCTTGGCTAGGCTACCCTTTTTGGGGGCCTGTTCCGAGGCTCGGGATGCCAACATGAAGCCGGACAGGAGAAGCTAGCTCCCCCAGTCTGGCACCGCCTTCAGAAATCCCCCTTAGCCCTGGGCTTCCCCCCACTGAGAAATGCGCCAACCCAGCCAGGCTGCTTTGCTCCCCCACCTTCAGTCCCAGGAACCCAGCCCTCTGCCCACACTACTGACCTGGCATTGGCAATCCTCGCAGGGCTGGTTGTGGGAAGCAAAGCTCTCTCCATCCCCGTAGTCCTGACCCTGGAACCTGCACCCTGGAGGGGAGAAAAGAGGCCACTCGGAGCGGAGCAAAGGAACCCCTTCCGGCCCTTTAAGACACCGCTTGCGAGTTCCCCTCTTGTCCCTTCCTGCTGCTTCAGTTCAGAAAAATGGATTTGATGCAGGGCTTGTTGGTGGGAGCGCGGGTAAAAGATTGCACGTGTTTTTGCCCCCTCAAAACTCCAGGTAAATAGAAGGTCAGCAGACTGGGGAGAAGGAGTTAGCACAGGGTTTCTCAAACCTGGCGACTTTAAGATGTGTGGACTTCAACTCCCAGAATTCCCCAGCCAGTTCTGGGAGTTGAAGTCCACACATCTTAAAGTTGCCAAGGTTGAGAAACTGTGGTCTAGTGGTCAACCCTCCTGCCACGAGCAGGGGGTTGGATTAGATCCTCTGAGGTCCCTTCCAGGTCTATGATTCAACGGAGAAAATGGATTTAACCAGTAGCTAGGAGACACGATGTCAAGGTCCTCAACAAGAGCTTTCTTCTGCTTTGCCCCCACCAAACCTCTCTTCCTGCAGTCCAGCCTGGAATCCGCGAATTCCAGGAACAAGATCTGAGCTCTGATTAGATTATTAGCTTATTAGCCAAAAGATCGAGGCTACCGCCTTGAAGAATTCCAGCAAGTGTCCTGCTTTCAAAGCTATATATAGGCAATACAGGGAGGCCAAGCTCTTGCCACTTGCTCTGCTTTTTTTGATGCCGGGGCTGGAAGTGTGGCACCTGCTCCTGACCCCAGTGAGGCCAAATGGGCAAAACAGGGGTCAGGATGGTCCTCATCCCCCTACCCACTGAGGCCTCTGGTTGGCAGCTGGCCTGTGGGGTGAAGGTGGGGGAAAGCAGGAAAAGGTGCTGGGTCCTTTCTGGAAGAAGCCCCCCGTCTACATTGGGGCCTCCTTCCACCTGTCCCCTCCCTGCTGCCCCCGAGATCAAAGCCCTGAAGATGAAGGAGAGCATCTCCTGAAATCACTCACCCTGGCACAGGGGGCAGGCGCATGGGCCGGGCACAGGATGGGCACAGCTGGCTGGCGTGCAGAGCTTCTTCATGCAATGGAGTGAGCCCGCCTGCGGGAAGAGGAGGAGGAGGAAGAGGAAGAGGACGCTTTGCTTGAGCTGCCACAAAGCAGGTTGCCATTTCTCTCGCTGCATCCTTCTGCGCTCCAGTGCCTTTCAGAGGTACTGGACTCCAACTCCTATAATCCTCAGCCAAGATATTACAAAATTCTCTTGTACCAAATCAGGTCACTGACTGAGTGATTGCTGTTTGTCCCAGATGTCGTTGATAGAGCAAATACAGGATGGGGGGGGGCTCTCCAAATGATCCTAAATTGGGGTGGAACTCTAGAGACAGGAGTGCAAAGACTTTGGATTTTGAACTGACTTGGGTGGCATCATTTAGCCTCGTCTCAAAAATCCACATGCCCAAAGCCGCCTGGTCCAATGCCCCCCCCGCCCAATGTATTATTCTAAGGGTAGCTGGACTAAAAGAATACATTTGTAGGCTTATTTTCAAACCATGCATTAGGGAAGGCTGCGTGCAAAATGATCTGTTAGGGAATGTTGTGAAGAATGAAACAATGCCAAGTTCCCAGTCTGCAACAGACAGAGGGTTCCAGACTGTCCGGCCACGTGTGTGGACACCAGATTCCAGCCATTTGTGCGACAGCAACTGAAAGTATCTTCAGTGCACCCCGGGCAGCATTCACTGTTCAAAGCCTGTCTTCCTTGTGCTTACTTTGGCATGACGATGGTTGGCACATGCCAGAAATCAAAGCATGGAAGTGACTTGAGATTTCCAAGAAATATGTTTCCCGAGCAAGTTTTCGTCCATATCAGGGGTGTCTGTGGCAGTCAAAAATTCAGAATAATGGTTGTGACTGTGTAATGGAAGCCTTCTCCCTTGTTTACATTAGTGTTTTTCAAGCTTGGCAACTTTAAAATGTACAGACTTCAACTCCCAGAATTCCCCAGCCAGCTTTGCTGGCTGGGGAATTCTGGGAGTTGAAGTCT